AGTCGGGCTATTTGTCCCAGGTAACCCAGGTAACTCGTCAACAACTTCGAGCTTAGTGATCTGAATAATACACAATTATAATGTGACATATTTTATAGAAGAGGGGGCAAATGAATACGGTACACCTGATGTTAAGTGACTTCCGCAGCTCATGAACAATCGCAACACCAGAGGAATTGCAGGTGCGTTGCCGGCCCTTTAGAAAGGAGTAAGCTCTTTTTTTGAAGGACCCCCGGTCGTAATGGTCCGGAAAAATAAAAAACCGGTGGTAAACTATTCCACAGAGAGGTCGTTCGCGGAAGAAAACTCCTTGTGAAACGTACGGTGGTGGACCGCCAAAGATCCAGATAGTATGGATGGTTTCGGGAGGTTTTCCGCGTAGTTCATGAAATTTGGCGGCTGTTATTAATCCGAACAATTCCTCAGAGCACTCTCCGTGATACATGCGATAAAATACGCAGAGATGCAACATCTCTTCGCAACGCCAGTGAATCGAGCCGATTGGAAAGCACTCGTTCGTCGACGATTCGAGTCGCTCTGCGCTGGATGCGGTCAAGTGAAAGGAGCTGGCACTGGAGAGCCCCAGCCCAGAAATGGGAACAGAACCTGCGCCTTGTAAAGTTGCAGGCGGTGTGCCAAGCTTTTTAGAGGTCTTCTCTTCCAAGTGACCACGAAACTACACGTCACTTAATATGTCGCCGCCGAGGATTCCGATACTGACTGAGGCAACAAAAAGAGTGCCTTGAAACTGAGGAGATACGACAAAGGGGTTCTTTTTAGTGGTTTACGCGCAAACTTGTGTCTTCTGAGGGTTAAACTTGACTAGATTTAGTCACCCCCAATCCGAGACTTTGTTCAGTAAAGACTCGACTTTTTTTATACGATGGGATTACAAACGAGCACACAGTCCACCTGATGGTAAGTGGTTGGTGTGGCCCATAGACTCTACGACTATCTATATTCGTCCTCGATTACGAATCAAATGCAGATGCGTTGCCATCCGTGAGGACTTAGATGAAATGCCTCGTTTCCAGTAAAAAGGGTCTCCGGTTCTCTACACTCGCCATACGAAACACAGTAACATTAAGCTACTATTTGACGCTGGTATTCTGTGAGAGCGTGGTCCTTCCCCGATCGAGCCGACCCATTCGTGCTACAACTATACTACTTATATAACTGCAGCATGGCTCTACCACGTAAGACTTCAAACACAAGTTTGTCCCGGTACTCGGAGACGTTTTCCCGAGTAATATTGGAACGGTCGGTGTACAGAGCATCACCAGTGCTTTCATCTGCATAGCAATGAATGTTTCAAGTTTGTAACATATCATTGATATGCAGAAGAAACAGCGTTGGTGATAGCACGAAGTCTTGTGAAACACCAGCATTAATAGGCTTGTAATCAGAGTTTGCACCGTCTACAACGATCTTAATGCTCTCATCTGCAAGAAAGCTGGTGATCCAATTGCACAATTTCTTGGGAAGCCCATAGGAAGGGAGCTTCGAAAGAACAAACCAAACTTGTGCCAAACCCAATCGAATGCCTACGCAATGTCCAAACTAACGGCCAATGCCTCCCCCTGGGACTCTACTGCCGCCATCCATCTATGAGTCAGGTAGACCAGAAGATCACCACATCTCTGATCAACCACAACGAAAATCGTATTGGAAATCACTAATCAGATGGTGTATCCCAAGGTACTTCATGAGCTGGCAGTTTATAATGGATTCCATTGTTTTGTAGAACAAGGAGGTGATGCGATGGGCTTGTAGTTGGACGGGTCTGAGCGGTTGCCTTTTGTAGGGATCGGGTGGACGAAAGCCGTCTTCCATGGTTTTGGCACTACGCCTAGAGCGTAGGAGAAGACCAGAAAAGACGCGGTAAGACCGGTGACAACTCTGAAGCACACGTCCTCTTCACAATTGGGGGGGATACCGTCTGGCCCACTCGACTTGTGGATGTCCAGGGAGAAGAGGGCTTTGCAAACCGAGTGCTATGTAAACCGCACCTCCGACATGGAGCACTCACACCGCGGGATGGTCGGCGGCATACTCCCCCCGTCATCGAGAGTCGAGTTGGACGCAAAGAAAGAGCCTAGCAGATCGGCTTTCGCCTTTGCAGGATGGGCCAGTGAGTCGTCCTTCCTGTGCAGAGATGGAAGAGATGGCTGACAGGAATTCCCCTGGACAGCCTTGGCGAGAGAACAGAATGCACGGAACATGGACATTAAACGTGATCTTTGTTTTGTCCATGTTCATCTTAAAACCTATCCGTTGGGAGACACTATTGAGGTCATTGAGTATAGTGCTTAGGTCCTCCAGCGATTCTGCCATAAGGATCACAAATAACAACAATAGTACTAATTTGGCTTTAGACCGAATTTCGGTTCCGGCGGCCACTCTCAACGGCGACTAGGACATCTACGCAGGACAGGATTATAGTGACAGAATGTATGTGCAAGCAGAGGTGCACTCTTTATTCACCACTCTCATAGTCCAAAAAAGTCAATGCCTGATTTCTTTTAGGCCCGACCCGGTATCAGTCAGCAGACGCGCTTTCGACCACTAGACCATTGAGGCAATGAAAAACCTTGAGACAGCAATTAAGATTTATTTATTAGAATTAGTCGTAGCGTGACGATTGTGGAACATTTTTACTTTAATGGAATAGGTCTTTGTCCAGGACCAGGACTGTAAAGGGCTGATAATTTAAAAAAAAAATTGGCGTATAAGGAATGCGTCAAAGCCAGGGGTGGTTCCCAACCAGACAGGCTTCTAGGCACATAATGAGTACAACCACGTAAGAAATAAGATATTGTTTTTATATTATATCTGTGAATTTTACATTTGGTTTGTTTATTAAATAAAAATATTAAAAAGCGTTTAACTTGTTAAAAACTCAGTAAACATTGTTAAAAGGAAGTTAAAATAAAAATTTATGAAACGACGGCTTAGGGTTTTTCATGAGTATGCTGCGAACATGACCTACGAAAAGTTACGACACGCTACGGTTGACGCCACGCCGTGTACAGAGAAAGCTTTAACAACAATGTAGAAGCTTAAAATGGAATAATTAATGAATTCAGAGCCCGAATGAAATCTGATGAAATACGCGAGGGGCGGAAAACTGTTTAATCCTTGTAATGTACAGTCGGACTACAAAAGGGTAACCACGCGAATATGTTGTGTATGAATATAACGCCATAGTGAATTTTAATTAAAGGAAACATTGTATATTAAATGAAATTGGATATCAGAACGCCATGTAACAACGTCGTTAGTGAAACTGTTATGCCATCTCGTATAGTAGGTGTTAAAACAGTAAAATCGATATAATGAGAGACATATGGATGCAAATTAGCACTGGAACTTTTACTACTCCATAGTACTCTCGGAAATCAGAGAGAGAAGCCTACGAATTTACATTTTATTTTTATTTTTATGATTAAAGTTCTCAAAAATATACAAATGGAGTAATAGATAGAAAAGATTTTCTTTCTTCACCAAAATTTAGTGTCGCTTATTTCTTTATTAAGTTATTTAACGACAATCAGAGGTCGTAGCAGAGGAATGTGGCGATTCTTTAGGTTTAAAATAATCATCAAAGCCCATTAATTTTATAGACATATTAGATCCGGAGATTTTTAAAATGGAAAAGCCATCGAGCGTACGCAGTTCACCTGAGCGCGAGTACACAGTTAAAAAATTAACATAAAATGAAATTTGCTACTTTACATTTAACACAAAAAGCTAAACGTTGCTGATTTATGCGACACGTGCTATTCGTTGAGACTGTGCTAGACTGTGCTGGGACTTAATTTTTAACAGTTTCGGAAAGCTTCACTGAAATTAAATAGAATTGAAAGAACGACAACCCTATAAGCTTGCAATATCGATGTTTACATTCCAGGTGATTTCAGCGAAATATATTCGCGATCAGCTTATGTTACAGAGAAATCCGAAACGTCATTCATACAATATACAATTTATTGCAGCTGGTACGTTACATAAAATAGAGTTATATTGAAGTTGAGTAAATATTGTGTAAAGTGTTTGAAATATTAAATACTTTGTATATATATATACATAATGCACAAAATACCAAGAAGTATAACAGTAATTTGTAAAAAAAAATTACTTCCAATAAAAAAGATAAAAGCTATCCATCAAATAAATTATATACGAAAATTAATTTTTTTTATAAAAAGAATCAAACGAGTACACAGGCTACCTGATGGTAAAAGGATGTTATGGCCCATAGACACCAATGTACTACATCTATCTTCGATTAACAATCAAAAAGAAGATGCGTCCTCAGCCTTGGGGCTCCTTCCTTGGGGATTAAGATGGAATTCGTCGTGTCCAGTAAAAAAGAGTCTCCGGTTCTTTACACTCACCACACGAAACAAATTTGCAACATGCGTTAGAGTCTACACGCTCTCAAACTTACTTACTCTGTACCAAAAAGAAACATACTCTGTGCCTTCAACCACGCTCTTCGCTCTGCCGCACAAATTTAGTTCGAGGTGTCTGTTCTACATAGTACGTCGTAACTTTCTGCTACTTCCTTTAGGTGTAAACTTCTTATAACTAATTTATTTATGACGATCTTTTATTTTCTAACTTCTCTATACATATTTTGAAATGCCGTATCGTTCCAAGTTATATATTAAGAAGTTATTCTACCTTGTATTTACTTATTAGCCACCTGAGCGTAAATTTTTTGAGGTATCAATATCATATCGCCATCGAGCAACTTTGTATGAAAAACATAGTTCCATTTACGTCCGCCAGAGGCGATGTAAAGTTATTTCATAAAATTGTATAAAATATTATTTCATACATTTAAGACGCGGACGATACAATAACGTGAGTGCTATGTACTTCAAACGTTTTAATATGTTTGCTAGTACAAAATAACGGACGTAGCAAGTTGAATAACAAAAATGCAATAATATAATAAATTAAAATCATAATATATAAATAAATTCAAGACTCACCGTTCTCTCTGGAACTTGAGTGATTGCACCCTCTGCGGCAACTTCTGGCGAAAGGTCCAGAGGTGCAGCTGGTCGTCAGCGGTGGCGGTGACCAGCGCGCCTTCGTTTATTAAGAACTTGGCGTAAAGGACAGCTTCTCCAGCCTCGTGTCGAACGTGCGCGTCCACCCCTGGACCACCGAGACTGAGAGCTGGTTGAGGAAATTGACTGCTTCTTGTTTGCTTACTTATAAACTGACATTTATTTTTATTCTCATATATAGGTACTCTAAAACACGTGAGGGGCGGTGTAAGAATATTTACCATCATCCTGTAGGTGAACGGTGAAAGGAAACCGGGAGATGGGCAGCACTGTCTTTCTTATAACGACTAAAAATAAAAAAAACTGCGGTTGCAACTTGCAAGCCCGTTTGCCAACAGGTGGAGCCTGTGCTGAGCAGTGTCCATTCTAAATGTTTAGTATTGTTGACATTTGACTAACGAAATAAATTTTCGTTAGTCAAACGTCAACATATTTTATAATCTACTGCCGTTTAAAACTAGGTTCCTTTACCCAGAGAAGATCCGGCGAAAAAATTTCCACAGGCATCTTATTTTTGTTTTACAGCCATTAATATGATATTCTTATTCATAGTTAAAAAGGAATAGACCCATATATAATCGAAGCATATTCTATATTATAAATATACAACGTAACACAAAATATATAAACATTAAAGGTAAAAATATGTTGCAAGCCCTAGACCATGCCCCACAAGCAGCACCTTCACAAGTATGAGGCAAGTGGCAGCTATCGCCGTCCTCGAGCATCTTAAAGGGAAGTGGACGATAAAATTGCAATTTTTAGTACTAATGAATGCCATATTTTTTTTATAGGATAGGGTGACAAACTAGCACACAGTCCACCTGATGGTAAGTGGTTACTGTGGCCCATAGACATCTACATCAATCCTCGATTACAAATCAAAATGCGTTTTCACCCGTGAGGATAAGATGGAATGCCTCGTTTCCAGTAAAAAGGGTCTCCGGTTCTCTACACTTACCATACGAAAGAGAGCAGCATTAAGCTACTATTTTACGCTGGTATTCTGTGAGAGCGTGGTCTTTCCCCGGTTGAGCCGACCCATTCGTGCTACAACTATACTTCTAATATAACTGCAGCATGGCTCTACCACGTATTATTTTGAATATACAGTCTTTTATACGTGGTAGAGCCATGCTGCACCTATGGGCAGGATCACGTTCTCACAGAATACCAGCGAAAAATAGCAGCTCAGTGCTGCTGTGTTTCGTATGGTGAGAGTAAGGACCCGAATACCCTTTTTACTGGAAACGAGGCATTCCAGTTTAGTCCTCTGGGATGATAACGCATCTACATCTTCATTATTTATCGAGCATTAATGTAGATGTCTAAGGACCGCAATATCCACTTACCATCAGATGTTTTTTGTTGTTTTTTGTGTTTTCAGAAAAATTAAGTCATAGCAAGTACGCTAAATCGATCAGACACTTCACTGTATAGGCTGTAAAGTTTTGAAAAACATAAATTGTTCATTATTATTTGTTGTTAAATTGTTTACAGTTATATAAATGTGTATTATAACATTGTTGTTTTTATGTTTTTCTGTTTCATACATTTTTAATCTTATCTTCGAAGTCACGCAATAAATCGTAAGTATTTTATTGGTTTGTTTACCATAGAAATAAGAAAATAAATAATAAAATGACTTGAACAAAGTGTGTTAATAAACTGTTACGTAGCACGCATCTATCAAGGATGTAAACATTTTCTAGATAATCTAAAGCAATAGAAGACTTCCTTCTATCCCTTGATTCTAAATTCAATGTGTTCAAGTGCACTTCGCAACGTTTTGCATCTCAAATACCTTGTCGTATAGCAAATAGTAACTCTAAATTACGATTTACTTACGTCATCAATCATCATATTACCTAATTTTATAAAACTGATTCAGAATCTCAGTTGTCCTGTAAGGGTACGAAGAAAACTAGACTAAATTATTGTAGAACTTGGGCAACCGCCCAATGTATCAATAAGCTGTCTAACAACCAATTTGGGAAGCAAGATACTCGAGTGGTATCCTCCCACCAGTAAGTAGGGTAGGACTACACTTAATGCAGTGGTACCTGGTAATATAGGTAGGAAGTTGATAGATGTAAGTTACTGAGAACCGTAATAGTAAAAGTAGTTATATTCTTCATACATCTCAATTTTTTTTTAATAGTTTAAGGGTGACAAACGAGCACACAGTCCACTTGATGGTAAGTAGATGCTGTGGCCCATAGACATCTACATTTATCCTCGATTAAGAATCAAACGCAGATGCATTGTCACCCCTAAAGACTAAAACGGAATGTCTCGTTTCCAGTAAAAAAGGGTCACCAGATCTCTACAATCACCATACAAAACACAGCAGTATTACGCTGCTATTTTACGCTGGTATTCTGTCAGAGCATGGTCCTTCCCTGGTCGAGCTGACCCATTCGTGCTGCAACCATAATATAGCTGCAGCGGGGCTCTACCACGCTTAAAAGGTATAAAGGTAGAGGCCACCTCTGCATTCTGTGTGGATTTTAGGCAAGAAAGTGTTCATTGCTCTGCCCCATTGCGTGTAGGCGGACTTCACACAAGTCTGCGAAATAAGGTCGCGTAAAAGAGATGAGGGCTTTAATGATGGAGATGATGATGTAGGAGGCCTGTGGTAAGCAGTGGATTTGTATAAAATAAGAAGAACTGTGATGATGATAACGATGAATCAAATATTATTTTCATACTGTTGATAAGACATTCTATTTGTTAATAAAATTTATAATTATGAAATTATTATACAGCGTCCCACTATCGCTAATAGTAAGGAAATAATTAGACAAAATATGAATCAATTTATATTTTTTTGCCAGTAAACTCATGTTTACGGATTTTATAGGATTTATTATATAAAAATTTAAGAACGCTGGCTGTGCTTCCTCTCCGAATAGTTAACTGACGAACAGCGAAAGCCAGTCGCAAACACAATTCCTTTAGGTACTTAACCGCACGTGGACCCCACGTAGTTATATTATAAGTCACAGCACATTTCACAAATATTTAGTGATCTCTCAGATAATTATATTTGCGCCACTTAGTTTAACTGCCTCTGATGCCACCCCGGGTCTGAACGAGGTACCTCTGAGATATGAGGCCGCCAAAGTGTCTAAGAAAGTAGCATTCCACACTAGTGATTTATATTTTTTAAACGTGGTAGAGCCATGCTAAAGCTATGTTGTGGTTTCAGCACGAATGGGTCGGCTCGACCGGGGTATGACCACGCTCTCACAGAATGCCAGCTTAAAATAGTAGCTTAATGCTACTGTCTTTCGTTTGATGAGTGTAGAGAACGGGAGACCCTTTTTCTGGAAATGACGAATTCCATCTCAGTCCTCAGAGCTGGCAAAGCATCTGCATTTTGATTCTTAATTGAAAATAGATGAAAGTGTCTATGGAATACATAATCCACATCCAATCCACCTTTATTATATTTTTTTAAACTTTAAATTGTAGATAACAATTTCTTTGGCGTCGGTGGGGATTGAATACTAAATGATATCGGCGTGTTGTCAAATTGACTTGCGCTTTATAACCCATCCATTAATTTTAATTGTTAGCTCGAGCTATAAAATATGATAATTTTTTTATTAAAATTTCTAAAGTCAATAACTTCAACGTTAGGATATCTAACACCGGGGTAATAAATCAAAATGTCGGAATAATGAAAAATGAACATAGAAAAGAAAGTCGGACGGCGAACACAAACTAAAGTCAGCTATGTACAATGAAATGGATCACAGAATACATTAGAATGGTTTTATGTAATGATTTTTTACGAACACTATCACGGAGAATGCTAAAAAGAATTTTCCGGACTGATTCCAGCTGCTAAATTTTACTATTGCACATCGCGATTAAACTCGCGATACCATCCATACCATATGGATGATTGGTAGTCCCCAATGTGCGATATCTAGAAGTTTTCTTCCTCGCACAACTTCCGTGTGGTCGACTACTACCAGCGATTTTTTCGGACCCATACGACTTAGGGACCTCGAGAAAAGCCTATTCTTTTAAAAGGCCGACAACATTTGCAATTCCTCTGGTGTTATTTCACTTACCATCAGGTGAGCCGCATGCTCGTTTGTCTCCTCTTCTATAAAAAAAAAACATCCTAAATTCATTAGCGAAAATGGACGGGTTATACCATCTGCTTGGGATTCTATAATTAATAAAATTAAATCCCAGCCCAAGCAAACAACTGCAAGACTTCGCCCCCCCCCCTTAATATATTTTATTTCTATTAATCAAAGTAATCGCCCATAGAATCAAGTCATATTTGCCAAAGTAGTGGCAGTTAAATTATATATAGTCTGTAGGCGCAAGGTCTGATGAGTACGGCGGATAACGAAGATCTTGCAACCCCAGCTCTTGTAACTCATCTCTTGTAAGACCGTCTGTTGTGCAATATAAGGGGCAATAGGGACGATCGATTGACCCGAGCTGAAAATGTCGCAAGTACTTAAGCGAATTTAAAAAAGGTTAACTGTAAAAACTGTAATCTTTTCGATATCGTAACGAACTAGATCGAAAAAGAGGTTGCTATTTTGATTCCAACACAAGATGTCGACCCTTGCAGTTTAGCGTTCCGCTGAACTCGTTATGGATTTATTTTCATCTAACTGAACGTTTTACAACTTTCCTCTACGAATAGAATGGCGTAAATCCGAAATTCATTAGTTTTTTAAATCTTATATTATTATGATTTAGAGGAAGTAGTATATTAAACATGTTTTCTTTATATATTATACTGTAATACACATGCATATGCATATCTATATATATATATATATATATTTTATATATATATATATATATATATATATATATATATATATATATATATATATACATGAACATGTAACATAATTAACGCACTTTGAGAAAGTAGTTTGTTCAGAATAGTTTACTGAATCGATTCCTATCATTTTTAATATAGGTAATTTTTTATCCCAAAAATAATTAAAACTACTTAAATTACAGTCACACTAAAAATGTACAGTCAAAACAAACTGAAATGGACCGTAACTTAAGGCAATAAGACTTAAGAGTGCAGTGAAAAAAATAGTCCCGCTGGGTTTCTTGCTGGTTCTTCCCAGGACAGAGGTTTTTTTTTGCGAACCAGTGGTAAATTAAAAAAGTGACTTTCAACAAGTATTGTTATAATCTGAAAAAAAAAGTGACTTTCAACAAGTATTGTTATAATCTACATTGAATAAAAAAAGTTTCTGTTTCTGTTTCTATATAATAATACGTATGTGGCGGGATTAGACATCCCGCCTGCGACAAAATTTCATCAAGCTACGGATTTACTGACAGAGAACGCCGATAGGCATTAAGAGCGCCCTTTGTTACCCTATTTATTAAAATGTTGACAATAAACATTAAATTTAAAAAAAACGAGCGGACCTTACAATAGTCGCATATGATGTGTTACATCTGACATCTTGTCAGTAAGTTGTATTTCGTCAAAAGTCAAAGTAGCACTGTGGCAGCATCGACAGCGAGACGCTATCTACGATACAGGGCTAATAGGTAAGTACTAATTCAATCGAACTAGCGTATCGAGTCAGAAAGTAAAGTATTAATTAGCATGTAAAAAGGTTTGTTGGATATTATGGTTATTTTACTCTAATTAGACTTTTTAACTTAAATTTGCTATGGAGTTTTAACAAGAATAACAGACAGCAATTGATTTTAATATATAGAGATTACTTACTTGCATTCTTTACACACACATACGAATTATTTATATAACAGCACACATACCACCGGGCGCGCTCATTGGTCAAATTAAATAGCGCGCGCTTTACAGGCTTCCTGTTACACACTTCCGTCCCTTTTCACAAAATCACTCCCACAGATTACAGGAAAGCGAGAGGAAAGATATTACAGTAGTCTCGTAGTGAAAGGAAGCTTCGTGAGTGAGCAAAATGTCTGAGGAATAAAAAAAATATTTCGAAAATATTTTAAGTCCGCTAAAAGAGCGCGGCGGATATTATCTTGCCCTAAAACCCTCTCAGAGATGAGAAGAGTGTATCATACTGGGATATAATAGATTGTAAATTCAACTTTTAAGTATTGTTAAGTTTAAAATTAACTTCCTTGATTTTCTATATTCAATTACGCTTCAGGCAATAGTTGCACTTTGTCCGATTTACCTAAGTTAAATTTTCAAAATATCAATACCACTTTCGTGATCAGTCTGATTCTACGATTTGTGTTGGCGTGTATGTACGTTCAGACATTTCAACATATGATCTAAGGTTAGTAAACTTCATCTCGCATTTCTCAAGACGAGTCTAAACCATTTCAAGACTAGTTGCCTAAAAATATCCTATTTAATCTTCATTAAAATCGAACCTAAACGAGAAGTCGATAGTGAAAGCTGGCCAATTCAAAACGGAACTGTTTATGAAGAGAAATAAATATCCCTTTTAATGAGGTACACATATTTAATCCTATATACGAAAGAGATCTTTCCTTCTGCAGTAGATGTATTATAGCTGTTACAAAATATTGAAATACCTTGTTCTATAATCCATAAACCTTAGGTTATTGATAGTTCCAATCCTCGAGCTGTACAAGAACCATTGATTTTGATTCTTTTGTTTGCTCCCGACCGTTCTGAACTGACCCAGTTTTCAACCATTTATTGTACTCGTAAAAAACGTTACCAAATGCTAATGTTACATTTTCGAAAGTAATGTGGCTTAACTAACTAACAAGCCTTTTTTGTAGAAATAAATAAGATTCCCTCTCCTGCGTCGTAAAAGGAGATGAAAAAAGGGGATGGCCATCAGAATTTTTCTGATAAAAAACTAAACAAAAAGATTAACAAACTGAGATTGCCAACTTGCCACCTGTTTGTGGCGGTGGAAAAATATAATTCACTATTCCACCTCATTCCGTTGGCGTCGTAAGAGGCGTTAGGTGGAAACAAACCAAGAGATAGGAAAACGCTGTTTTTCCTAATAGAAACCATGTGTCAATTATGGCAAATAAGGAGGATATTTGCCATAATTGAATTGCACAATCAAATCTATGGAGGAAGCTCGAATTTAATAGTGTACTTTTAATAGGCTGCAACGGTACGACTAATCCAATGGATGGCAACTGCTAAGCCACCTAGACCGGTACAATACCGATTCTAATTAATCACTTTGTACCCCATTTAGTAACTGGAGCGCAGTGAGGAGGCGCTCGGTGCTAAGTAAACGCCCCAGTTTCGCTTCAAACAGTACAGTATAAGTAGTACAGTGTGACTACAGAGATGTCCGCCCAAGAATAAGGGTGACAATGGACCACACAGTTCAACAAAAGGTAATTGAATTCTTTGGTCCGTAGACATCTACATTTATCGATTAAGAATCAATATGCAGATACATTGTCACCACTGAGGATTAAGATGGAATGCCCCTTTTCTAATAAAGATGGTTTTCGGTTCTCTAAGATCACCATATGAAACATAGCAGTATTAAGCTGCTGTTTTACGCTGGTATTCTGTGAGACCGTGTTCCTTCCCTGTTCGAGACGACCCTTTTCATGCTACAACCATAATACGCCTGGAGCATAGCTCTACCACGTGTAACTGATGCTAAGTGTACAGAGTACAAACAAGTTCTTGGTCCACAAACAATAGATCATGCTGTTTCTAAAAATAATTTAAAAAAATTCACAATAATATAATATTATATTTCAAATTAATTTAAAAATCCCGCTGGGTTTTTGCTGGTTCTTCCCAGGACAGAAGTTTTTCCCGAACCAGTGGTAAAGCTTAAATGAGTTTCAATAAGTATTCTTGTGTAATCTATATTGAATAAAAATTATTCTATACTCTATTTTATTTATGGTATCGTATCGTGACTTTGCATTTGATATTGAGTTTTTTTATTGCGTATTAAAATATGGTTTTGTTTCGCAAATATATTTTACGGCCAACGTGCTCTCTCATGGATGGCTTTAATCTGTCAATCAGGATTTGTATATCACAAATCAGGGATTAAAACCGTTTCGTTTTCGTAAAAACATTTCCAATTTCACACTGTAACAAAAAACTTAAATTCAAAAGATAGTCCAAAAATACAATATGAGGCAAAGTCTAATTAACTTTGGTAAATTGGAAGCGAGAGTAATGCTACGGTTCGAATTACAATCTCAGCTGAGGGCACCATTTCGCTATGCCACTACTGTGGTGAGTTACTTTTCGACCGACTAAAATACGGAGGGGGTTCTCAATTCGACACGTATATATTTTTTATGTATGAACACGCATAACTTTTTACAGAGCAGTCCGATTTTGATAAATCTTTTTTATTGGATATACCTCGGAATTGGTCCCATATAAATTTGGAAAAAAAATTACCCTCATTTCTACCCTATTTGATATATTTCGACTTATCCGTAGAACAGAGTCCGATGTGATCATGGAACAAAAACAAGTTAAAGTGCTAGACGAGTTATTGAATACAAACTCTACAGATGTGTGTTTTTAGAATTTATAAGTTCGGAAATATAGAATCGAATAATTAAGCTTCGCATAAAAATGCACGAAGTGATCAAGTTCAAGCGACGACGCGCGGGGAGCGGAAGAAGCGCGGGCGCTCCGTCCGTTCGTCATTCCGGCCGCTGTTTGTTGGAGGAAAGGCGTTTTTGTATCACGCACTTAGCTTTTTTTCGTTTTGTTGAAAAAAATAATTTATCAAGTATTTGGCGTGAAAAACATATTTTTAGAGATGTCACGATAACGAAAAATGTTGGACATGCCTATAGTCGATGGAGAAAAGCCTGAGCTTAGTTCATCAATTTCAAATATTCCTGCTGTTTATACAAAGAAAAGTGTAAAAACTGGTAAGTTGACGATTTCAGTTGTATTATTTTGTGACACACTCTTTTAAGCTCTTAAATTAATAAATAATAAGTCTTTATTGCTTTTTTGTCTCAGTAAACAGTAGCGGGCGATTGATTTTTATATGGGACGTTTTTTGACGGAGATGTACATAAAGAAATTTTTACTACAAAAATACGATTGCCGTAACGTAATTACTAACTACTTTTACAGGGTAATCATTCTTTCTCTTATAATAAACAGTAAAAAGTAGAAGTCCTATGAAATATTAGGACGGATTTGTACAAACATTATTAAATTTCTAAGCGTTTCATGTGAATATAAGACGTTTTTCTGCGGTATCTGTGTCATGATTTGTTGGTTCGATATTAAGATAGGACATAGTTATTGGAAAAATGAGATTATTTAGGACGTTATTCATTCAAAAATATCGTTAAATATAAGGGTTTTTTTTAGTAAAAATTTCTTAAATTAATTGCGTTGTCTTTAAAAATACATAATATAAATAGTATTTTATCAATACCTAAAATAATATAGTTTTTTTTAACTTCAGTTATGAATGTTGATGACAACGGCATGACACTACAAACATCACCTTTGCCTTCCGGTGCAGAAGAAATCAGTCAGAAACTAGCTGATGTATGGGAAGAAGTTCTGCATGAAGATGGTGGGACCAATGAAATCACCTGCGACAGCTCAATACTGAATGTCATGTCTGATCCGTCTGCTAATGATGTTTACAGCAATCAACCCAGTACGTTTTCCTTGGAAGTGCCTTCTAGTTTCGAAAATTCACCATTAATACAGCTTGATGAGCTGTTAGAAGTTTCTGACCACAGATCTACCCCGGTTAATTTAGAACTGTCAGTGCTTACTCCTATTCCGTCTCCTACTAATGTGCATTCGATCTGCGATAGCACATTTTGCCCTAATCATGTAGACAGTTCCTCTGTAATTTCTTCGTTGTCATTTAGCAACACGAATTCACCTGCTACTTCGCACTCAAACGATCGCACCGTGACTCCTAAAACGACTAGAAAATGACAGAGGTGCCCAAAAGAATGGACAGACTTTAAACGCAAATTTTTACAATGTGCAATTTTTACAATACAAAATGCCGTTACAAATGCCCTGATAAAATATCTCACCAACAGCGGTTGGACTGCTTCACAAAATTTTTGCAACTGGGAGATCGAGCTATGCAGTGGAATTTCATTATCAAATATTCGAATAAAATGAAGAAGAAAAGATGTATAAATCAAGATATTCCTAATAATAGGAAACATATTTTTAAGTATTATCTGCCGCTGATTACAGGTTCTAGCGAATCTCACTGTAAGAAAGCTGAAGTATGCCAAACTATGTTTATTAATACTCTCGCCGTTTCAACTCGTATCTTAAAGATTGCGTGGAAGAAGTACGATGGAAGTGCTATTTTAGAGGAGGATAGACGGGGTCGCCACTACAATCATAAGATCGTTATAGATGACGCAATGAAACAAAGTAGTTGTGACCATGTTAGGGCATTCGTCCCTGTTGAATCACATTATATACGCGAGAATAGCCAAAAGCTCTACCTAAAAGGAGACTTAAGTATTGCCAAAATGTTCAAATTGTATCTTGAATGGTTTGACCCTGAAAAATACTCTTCTAAGGCTACAAAAGAACGCCATTATCGTGATATTGTTAACTTAAACTTCAATCTAGCTTTCCATATTCCCAAAAAGGATCAGTGCAACGAATGTCACGTTTTCCGATTGAAAAAGAACTCAACGGACCAAGAAAAAGAATCTTTTCAACAGCACCAGATTAATAAAAAGGTCGCAAGGGATTTAAAGAGCCAAGATAAAAAAACGCAGAAGAGTCAAATGGAAAAATGGTTACTGCTGTATTTGATTTCGAAAAAGTATTGCAGTATCCTCATGGCAATAGAAACACATTTTACTAAAAGAGAAAGCTATCTTCTTTTAATTTCACAGTTTTTGACATGGGAAAAAAAAGCCTTTTGCTATATGTGGGATGAATCTGTGGCAAAACGTGGCGCAAATGAGGTAAGCAGTTGCCTCTTAAATTTTATCCAAAGTAATACTGACCAAGGAGCCAAAGAAGTAACCGCTTTGTATTTTCACTGTACGTTTACGCCGCAAAAATGTTCAACATATGCATAACACACCGGTTTTTAGAGAAGGGACATACCCAAAATGAGGGGGGATAGTGTCCACTCTGTCATCGAGAGAGCTTCTCAAACCAAAACTATCTACAACCCTCATGAATGGCGTTTATTAGTAAGATGGGCCAAGAATGATGGAGAACCCTATGTTGTCCGCAACGTAACCCAGAATGACGTATTTGACTTTAAATGTCTTGTAAATAATAAGGTTTGGATGAAAGACTTTAAGGGCAAGAAGATTAACTGGAGTAACATTCGAGAAGTTCATTCAGACGGTAGTGATCCAAACAAATTGTTTTTTAAATATGACCTGTCTGAGTTTGATTATAATATTTTATTGATTCGCAATAACACGAGAAACTCGGTACAAACTGAACTAAAACCTGCATATTCTGAGCCTATTATGTTTCCTGTTGCTAAATATAAAGACTTAATGGATATGTGCCACTCAGAAGTAATTCCCTCAGAGTATCATCCATACTTTAACTCTTTGCCACATCACACCAACGCTGATGTTTCTGAAGAATCGGATGATAATCTATCGGAATAAGAAATATTTTAGATACACTATTTCCAGTTTTTTTTCGAGCTGTATTGTTCTTACTGAATTAACGAAACAATGTTAATTATAATAAGTATTTAACTAAGTAATTTAATGTTTGTCTACGTACAATGTCATTGCTATTAAGTATGTGCACCCACGTCTAGGTCACGATGTAAGACTGAATTATAATATTATGCAGGCTGGTTGTAATATGATTTATTTTGAATTAAATAACTAGTTCGAAGTTTAAATATCTTCATATTCATATCATATATTTTCCATTGTTATGTTAATATTTACGTACATTTTATAAGTTTAAGACTGCTAGTTTAAGAGGAAATGCGGGTGGTTTTTTCTCCATAGAAAAGCTCTCCCCTGTTTTTTCTTGGTTTATGACAATATCTATTTAGAATAGTCTCTCCGCCTATATTTTCTCTTAAGTCCCGTGCATAGTCGTGTAGGTTACCTAGTTACCATGTTATGATAAGATAAGCCATTTAATTACTACATTATGATTCAATTATTACGCCGAAAACGCAGTTTTAGGTATTTGTACAGTTTAATTGTTGTTATATAATATAATCTCGTCTTGGTCATGAAGGTCTAATAGTAAAGCTATAAAGACGGAATGTTATTTAAAAAAATAATTGTGTTACTGTTGATTTTATAGCTAACACAAAGTTTAAGATTCTTCACGCGCGTCTTCTGAATTGTTATAATACTGACATAGATCTGTAGTTTTATAATTTTATAAATTTTAAGTCCATAACTAACTATGATATGATTGCTGTTGAAAGTGATATTCTATCTAATGATTCTGTTATCTATTTTGATTTTTTAAGCTATTGCATAGCTTCTATCGCGGGCCTTGAGTGCGGGAAAATCCAGAAATTTCGTAACGAAAAAATCCTCACGCTCTCCGACGGGCACGGAGGTGTGGCTTGAAGGCCGTGCATTGTCTAACGATGGTCTAACGTCGTTTCTTTTCCTCAGTCTTCGACACGGTGTTTGTGTATAAAGTGTTTTGAAATTTTGAATATGAATGAACAAAGTGCATTTATTATTAAGGCTGCTCTCTCGCAAAAAGCTTGAAAAAAGCGTGCAGATGAACCAACTTTTCGTCGACACTTACAGAGAAATTACATATGAAAAAAATAGCTAGTAATCTACATGATCTGATACGTAATTTGGTTTAGCCATAATTTTTCTATCGGTGTCACATAATAAATAAAAAAATACCCAAATCACCTCCAAATCGTTGAGATGAAACCACTTTACTCCTTCATTGTTTATCAACGGAATATAAAAAAAATATCTACTGCTTTGCAATACAAAATAAAATAATTTGGTTTGGTTACTTTTTAGAAATATGTATTATTTTTATGATAATAAATTAAAAATGCGTCCCGATTAAATACTGCATCTATATCACCCCCGCATTCGTCCACGAATTCAGTGCGGGGCGCATCGTGTTGCTAGGTGCACGTACGCCGCGTTGCGAGAGCTCAGCACTACTAAATAAAATCGTAAAATATTACTGCAAAAATTTAATTTTGTTAATAGTGGAGTAGGTTTTTTCTGATTCTTGTTTAATAGTAGTGTTTTATAGTTATATTAATTGTACAGTTTTATTAATGTTTAAGTTTAGTTTGTAAAACATGGGGAATAAGCAGAAACGATTGAAGAGAGGTCTAAAAAAATATTACAAACAAAAGGGTATACATTTATCAAGGTAAGTTTTAAGTTTTATCTACATATTTCATAATATTAGACAGGTGCTGTTTATAAAATACCTATATTACTGTGATTTCGCCACTCTGTGACGAGACAAAGCGCGGCAAACGCAAGTGGCGGCAAGGCGCGGGCCGCGTCGTCGCATGCTGGTAGCGGAGTGGCGCGGAGAGGGGTCGTTAGCTCCGCCCAAATGCACAAGGCCATTAGCGTGAATACAAGCCTTAATGAAGAAAGTCACGAAAAAATAGTGAAAGAAAATGAGTGAGTACTCTATATACATACCTACATTTTATTATTATCACAAATGCAGTACTAATTTTGAATTGAAAATATAATACTGCTATAAAGATAACCTAAATTTTTGATATTAAAATGAGCGATATTAAAAGTAGCCCTCTTTATATACACACAAACACACACACGCGTATAGTTTAAATTCTCAATTTAGATTCTCAATATGTATATATATACTCGATTAACCGGACTAATTGTTGCCGTTAGGGATTCGGATAATCGAAAATCCGGATGATCGAATGTATGAAGAAAAGCGGGTTTTGTGCATTTGTAGTACATATGTACATACATAATGTTATGTGTTTATTAAAAACAACAATTTCAACGAAAATCAATGTTTATTAAGAAATTATTATTTTTTAATAAACATTGATTAAATTCCATGAAGAGATATAAATCTATATAACCATCCGTTACTTGCGACGAACGAGCCGCCGTCACCTAATTTTTTATTTAACTGTAATGCTTTTTCACAAAGCAAAGGGCCAGATATCATTTGCCCAGTTGATCGTTTTTGTAAAAACCAACAATACAAAGCGTCTTCTAATTGCCAATTTACTCGCGGACATAGGTCCTTATGTCCGGGACGGGGGTTTGTTAGCGCCTGATAGTAGATCGTCTTATCTCAAGCGGTGTGAAGCGACGATTAGTGAGGTGCGGGAGGGGGAGGCTAGCTGCATTTGTGCGCGCGGTCGGTCACCCCCTGTTGGCATCGAGCCGAGCTAGGGAGCAGACGGGGGCGGGGCCGCGCTCCCCTAGCTAGGCGCGCGGCGCCTGCGCCGATGACGTTCTCCGGTCGCATTATAGGGGTCGTACTCATTATCGTTAGAAAGCGTCATCTGTTTACGTTTACGGTCCAACCGTCGCGTCGGCCGAGACAATGGGAGTCAATAAAATACTACCTACATTCATTATGCCACAAGGATTGCGTATAGCTTACACTAATTTAAACTCTAAGCTAACTTAATAAGAGCTTATTTTACTAACACAAACGCGAAGCCGGGTTGTTCATATATTGAAAGTCTCCTTGTTTTGTCTTAGACTTATGTTAATAGAGCGTGCCATTTGAACTTAAAGACAATTAATTGGACAATAAATAATAAGTGACAAATCTTGCCGTGGAGCGTGGAACTGAGTAGTTGCGCGTCTTGTTAATATGCCGTACGGCCGCCCTGACGTATGTACTGCGCGACTGTTTTTTGCGACGCGGTCCGGTGATACAGTATTTTTCACAAATAGTGAGTTCATTATAACGCGGGTTCGGTTAAATTTGGTTGAATTTGATTGGATTAACCTAAGTAA